AAACTCATTACCATCTATTGAAGTGTTTTGCCTCTTCTCTTCTTGTTATCAATCTTGATTCTATCATTCTATAAGAAGAGAAGATTTCACTTGTAAATTCATTTTGAATTGTGGGTCGCGTTGAGGTCCCGGAAAGCTCAACATTGTAAAGGATTGGTGCTCCTTAGTTGTAAGTCACCGGAAGCGTTGTAAAGGGTTGGATTGCACCATAAGTCAATCAACATAGTGAAAAATGCCTTGCTCGTGTCAGAGAGCTTGGTAACGGGGGACGTAGATCATTGCATTGGATCGAACCTCCATAACATATCATTTGCTCTCTCTATCCTTTTTACTTAACGGATTTACTTCACGTTCATCTACATTGCTTCATTTGCTTGTTTTCTTGTACTTAGACTATTCTCTATCATTTGCATAGTCTTTATATTAAACTCTTGATTAATTAACGAAAAAGATTTAATAACTAATTCACCCCCCTCTTGGTTAGCCAATCTTGGGCTTTCACTAATATGTTTCCTCGTCGTTAGATATACATACCTTCCAATTGAACAAAATGTTGAGATTTTCTCTTCGACGTCAGTACGTTGATATCCAATTTAGTACTGTCAATGTACACTTCTCTTCGTCTTTTATTTTTCTTAGACACTGAAGCCATTTTTCTACTTCGGTTCGGATTACGTTCCCTGTGTAAATTGGAAATGAATAAACACAAATGAATTTAATATCATAGAAAAAGTTTAAAGAAATGTCCCAGATTCTCATTCATATTCATTCTTAAAGTACTTCTCTCATAGTCTCCCATCATATATTTGGTATATAATTATTTATTTCACAGAAGTTTGTAGAAGCTTAATACAAAAGAACACACTTCAAATAAATTTATGTGATCTATTTAATTAGCACAATAGCATATTGAATCCATCATAAAAACACAACAAAACTACATTAGAAGCTCCAAAACCATTTCTCACCTTACTCGCTCCAAAAGTAATGCAAAAAATAGACCAATGGTGAAAATCATTCAGTGGCTTAGTACATTCTTTTACATATCTGTTACTTTGTCACATTGCTCAATTTATACAACTTCTGTGGCTTATTCTATTCTTTAACTTCTGGAGTAACTTATGGATACAAAGAATATATAAAAAAATTGGGAAACCCCTATTAAAGTTAAAGAAGGTTATTAAAAACATATATTACCTGCTTGTGGATTCTACTTCTCCTTCAATTTTACCATTAATTTGGCTTAACCTTTCTTTAAAACTCCAAGTTATAATAGCCTCTGAATAACATGAAGTGAACATAGTTTAGACATTTTTCATTCGATCACATAAGAAAACGAAAAAAAAAAAAATTCGTTTCACTGTAAGAATTCCACACAACTCGAATCAAAGATTAAAAAAATACATTAAAACAGAAATATTAAAACAATATACTAATATAATTTAGGCATTTTTTTTTCAATCTCATGAAATTTTAATTTCTGTTTTGTATAAAAAGGAAAAATAATAAATCACGAAAATCACAAATTGAAGAAAAAATCTCATATTTGAAACCACAGTTGAAGGAATCAAAAAAAATATACACAACACCCTAAACCCTAAAGACCCCTTAAACATGACTATACGAAGTTTGGGCTCGGCTTCTCCGAAGATCCAGCACAAACAAGAGCGAAAAAAAAAAACCGACGAGATTGAAGCATTGATGATTATACTAACAGATCTATGCCTCACTTTCTTGAGAATTTTTGAGACTCCGTTCTACAGTAACACTGTTCACGGGAGGACAGTGTGATTAATTTAGCGAGAAATGAAGAGGTAACCAAAACGAAAATTATGGAATAACTTTTGATTCCTATCCTTGATTTGGAAGAAAAGAGAGCACCCTAGATACTTTTGAGAACCCTAATTGGAGAAAATATATATATATATATATAAAAAAAATCGGTCAAGGGGTATTCTACAGCAACAAGCAGTAGCAAAAATGATGAAGAAGCTTGAGTTTGGAGATCCAAATGAAGATTCCAGCCTCGATTTGTAAATAAAATCCCAAAAATTAATCGAAATTCAGACTGCCTGAATCTGAATAAAACCTAAATCAAACCTTCAAAGTTACCTCAGATCAAGATTTAAGGAGATTTCTTTGCATCTGTTGAAATTTAGAAATCTGAACAAATTTTTGACAACATTTAACCGTAGAGAGGAATGCGCAAGAGAGTGAGTAGAAAAGGAAGAATGTTCTGGAACCACAAAACAAAAGGGAAGGAAAGATTTTATTTTTTAGACCCAGCTGACTTCCAAGTGGCTGAGGACAGCCGGCTCCATCGAAAATGGGTCAGCCGACCAAGACAAACGACTTGTGAACAGTAAAAAAAACTCTCTCTTTTCCTTTTAGTTAGATGTTAGCCAAAGAATTTGAGTTGCTAGTATTTAATTATTAAAATTGTTTGCAAAAATTGCATTAGTAAAATCGGGTTAGTTAGTTTCATTATTTGTTATTAGGTTATAACATTAGCAAATCATTGGAATATTTATATACATTTTTCTGAAAAAAATGATATATAAATAAATAAACACTTAACGAGGAGATCTGTCCCAAGTCTTATAACTAAATTAGGGTCAAGAAGCCTACTTCAACATTTTTCCAAGTAAACAAATCTTTAATTTTTATACATGATATATCAATCTAGGTAGACTAACGTTAAGTAGAAAAATATTTGATATGTCATACCTGTAACGAATTTGAATATATTATATTGTCCAATACAATATACCTTTTTGAATTAAAAATTAACTTTACCCCGTCTTCTAATAACTATGTTCGACCAAGCTCGAGATGCCCTATTAAACTTATTTTCTAAGAATTATGCTACATGTACAATCTAATTTAATAATATTGGTTGGCAACTTACACTTGATAACATCACATTCTTCTATTTCAAAAATTATTTTTTAAATTAATGACTCAGATTTTGACAACACCAACATTTGTTAACTATTATTTTCGAGTATGATTGTACAAATAACAGAATTGATTTTCTAATGAACATGTCAACTCAACCAAAAAAAATACAAGATAAGTTAAAAAAAAAAATCCAATGGGGCACTATTTTGGTGGGTGAAATAGTGCAGTCCCCTTTCTAGTGTGGCTTCCACTATCTTCAAAAAGATGAATAAAACCACATTATAAAGTGTACTCAGATGGTGCAAAACAATCTAAAAGGCAATGCAAGAAATGGAAACAAATTCCAAAACCATTTTTCTCTTTCAAATCCTTATCTTCTCATACTTTATCAGCATTAATATTATTGCTGTAAGAGGCGTCAATAATATTGCAAATTTCTCTCCATGCAATGGTTCAATAGCAGATTGTGATGAAGAATTGGAGATTTTAATGGAGTCTAAGATAAGCAGAAGAATTCTTGAAGAGAAGAAATACATCTCACCAGGGACTTTGAATAGAGATCAGCCAGTATGCGATGGTGGTGCCAGGGGCAAGCCGTACACAGGCGGTGGCGGTTGTGTTCCTTTCCCGTCAAACCCCTACCACAGAGGTTGCCTCCAATATTATGGCTGTCGGGGTGATGTATAACATATACGAATTCGGTGAAACTATTTCATAGAAGTTCATTGATATCTAAGGTAAATGGACTTGGAATTAACTTATGTCCCACGTGACACAACACATATATATGTATACATGTATTTATGTATGTGTATACACGAATATGTTTAGTTGTTTTTATGATATCTGTCAAGAATTGAGCCAATTGTTATGAAAATGAAAGACGAGATATATGCAATATGAAAATAAAAAATTACAAGAACACAAGATTTACGTCGAAACCTAAGACCAAAAAAACCACGAGCAGAGGTGAAGAATTTATTATATCAAAAGTAAAGAGTTACAATATGCTGGATCTCATAAGACTTTCTCGTGATCTCTCTATCCGCGAGTCTCTCTCTATTAACTGGGATCCATAAAAAATGTATAGTACACCACATATCTATAATACAATAATCTTTAACATATTAGGAGAATTAATTCAATGAAAAGTTTAATATAAGGTAAAGTTCATGTTAGGTATTTGATATAATTGGCAAGTCTGTGAACAAAATGGACTAAAATTAGCATTTTTTAAAAGTCAAAGAGTTATGTGTAAATAGTGAAAATTGAGGTATTTTAGGTCTAAGGTTCGAGAATGGAAAAGAAGGAAAAACGGCGTCGCAATTTTGCTAGACTGTCTCTAAGACTTGGCTCGAGCATCAGAAACAGTAACACTGTCTCTAGCCCGTCACCAGGCATACTGTCGCTCCCCTGTCTCCCAATTCTCGCTCGAGCGACAGGTTTATCCGAGAATTTTTTAATTCGTTTTTTAAGGCTTTTTATTTGGTCCATTCATATGTTGTCCTACATATAAATACCTAAACACCTCTGAACGAGATTTCTAAGGTTGAACATTGTGGAAAATATATTCTTGTCACATCATCTTGATAAATTTGCTTTCAACCTTCATCCTTATTGGTGATTGGTGGTGTAAACATGAAACTCACAATCCAAACACCAAACTGCTTCTTCCTTCATGTATGTCAGAAGTTCTGAAGATCAAGAGAAGGTGACTGGAGTTCCTGTAGTTGAAGAACGCGGTATTCTTCTTTAATCCACAGGAGAGACGATTTCACAAAGTTGGAAGTTGTTGTAGGATAACGCAATCCAGGAGATATTTGGAAACTGCAGCTGGGAGTTGGTGCAGGAGCACGAAGCCCAGGAGAGCTATTGGAATTGCAGTTAGGAGGTCAGAACGTACTAGTGGTAGTCGAATCTAACGGACTGTAAGTTTTAAATCGTTTATAGTTGATTGTTGACTGGCAATGTGCCCGAAATTTTTACCCAGTTGGGGTTTCTCCCTGATCATATCTTGTGTTAATTTATTACTTATATAACTGCGGTATTTCAACATATGATAAAATTGAATTGTATGATTAACCATCTAGAGATAATTAATAGTGATTTGTTGCTATTTAATTATTAAGTTTTTTAATTCCGCGTAATCACATATTCACTCGGGTGCTTAGAACAGGACCGACAGCTAGCTAGGCACGCGCCAGCAGATCGAACGACAATGGCACTGCTCTTTAGCCGCCAGGTGCCACTCAAGTGACAACTTTATGCGAATTTTCAAGGTTTGACGATTTGGCTAGTTTTGGGGCTCCTATTTCAACTCAAATACTATGGTATTCATTTTATCCATTGTATTGGGCAAGTTGCTCAATTGATATCAAAATTCAACTTAAGTTTCACATATGATTGAGGTCTTGGGTTCGAATCCTAGGGGATGCGTCAAAAAATCGTGAGGGGTAAGATGGGTTTAGACGCTTCCAAAGCGGATAATACGTATAATATGATAATGGCTCCGGCGCGAGGTCGGGTCGTTACAATAAGGGGACAATATATGAGCTTATGTCATCGAAATGAAGGTCAATTTACGTTTAAAGTCACCTTACCAACATATGTCAGCCATCCCAAATCTCACACATGCAGTCCAAATTCACTCACAAAATCACAATGTGTGCAGTGCAGATGGTACATGGAGAAACATTTGCTCAATACTCCAACTTAAACCGAACTAAGTAATGAAAATAACAGTATAGATCAGATGAATGCATACTTGGTCACACACGCAACATTTAAGAGCACCATAAAATGCCTAAGGGGACAGAAATTTTTTTTAAATAAAAAAAAATCAAGAATTTTTAAAAAGCAAAACACAAAATAAATTCAAAACAAAACACAAATATGTGAGCTACACATGTATGCACCTAATCAAGGAGAAACATGGATGCTCTTAACTTTAAGAGCATGGTCATCATCTCAGTTAAATGGTTAACCTAACTAGTGAGAAAGTGAACATTGCTAGAGAAATCCTGACTTTTTCTTCTAGTCGTGAATTTACGACGCCTATGTCTTATGTGTCTCAATGCTCCACAATGGTGATAAGTGAGAATAAACCTAGGTTCAAAACTGCTCGGAGGTTGTTAGCGATATATAGGACGATTGACCCTACGTTGTCTAGTATGTCTTGATCCAAAGACATTCGTGCCATTGGGTTCAGGATCAACAACATTCTGAGCTTTGTTGGTGGCTGAGACAATTGTGGTCTTGGATGTACTAGCAGTAGTATTACCATTATGAACGTAACCCAGACCATGCATATTCCAACATGTTTGTTCGTTCCCAATAGATTATCGAGTTTCTGCGTACCATTCATGAATGAATGAAGTTGAGTATTAGATTTTTCAAGATCACTTGTTAGAGATTTAACTTTAGCTTCCAAGTTCTCATTAACAAGCTTCAACTCATTCAAATTTTTGGTAGAGTCCTGTAGGTCACCTATAAGTTTCTCTCTCTCTCTCTCTCTTTCAAGTCCATTCACCTTTTTCAGCACAACTTTATTGACCTTTTTGATTTTAAGACTCTCCTCGAATAATTCTCGATAAGACTCATGAATATCGGTCTCATCCTCAGATTTTTCACAATATTCTTCATTCACAGCATTTTCACTTTCCTTATCGGATTCAATTGTAGCTATAGATGTGAATGCCATAAAGTTTTGTTTATCCTCACCACCAGAAGTATCACTCTGAGCACTCGAATCTGATTCATCATCACTTAACGTCACTGCTAAAGTCTTACACCTACCTTTATTCAAGTTCTTCTTTAAATTAGGACATTCATTCCTATAGTGACTAAAACCCTGACATTCATGACATCTAACAGATTAGGTTTTCTTATTAGCAATCTTAGAATTATTCTTCTCACACTCATTCGAAAATTTACTAGGGACTTCATTTTTCCTTTCTTGAGGCTTTTTCATATTCCTCATCACCTTTTAGAATTTTTTAACGAAATATGAAAGTCTTCCCTAAGCGTCTCAGCATCAGTAGACTCACTATCTTCTTCTCTAGCAGTGTTCATGGCTATAGATTTAGCCTTTTTCGATTGAGATATGATGAGTTCATAGGTTTGTAGGGATCCTATGGCTCTTCTATCTTAACGGCATCAAAGTCCTTACTTTTTTTATCGCGGTAACTTTAGTTCTAAACTTTTCAGGTAGGGATCTAAGAACTTTTCTAAAGATTTTAGACTCGGGGATCTTCTCTCCTAGGTTGAAACTAAAGTTAACTATATCATTAAACTTTGCATAGAATTCATTAAACGATTCATCGTCCTTCATTCTAATTTCTTCAAACCTAGAGGTCAACATCTATAGTTTAGAGTTTTTAACAATTTTAGTTCCCTCTTGTGTAGTTTCTAATATATCCCCAAACTTTTTTACCGGTTTCACATATCGATACTCTCATAAACTCTTCAGCAGACACAGTCATGAACAAGGCATGAATGTCCTTACTGTTCCAGTTACACTCGGTTAAGTCATCTTTAGTCCAAAGTAAAATATCAGTGGGTATAGCTACACCACAACAGTAGTTGAAGGTGCAGTCCACCCAGTTTGAACGTTTATCCAAATACGCTCATCCAATACTTTAAGAAAAGTTCTCATTCGAACTTTCCAATAAACATAGTTACTTCCGTCGAAAAACGAAGAAACTGACAAGGATTGACTCATCTAGAATTAATTATGTGTCAGGAATCGAAATAAGGCTCTGATACTATTTGAAAATACGAGTTCGACCCAAACTACATCTAGAGGGGGTGAATAGGTGATTACGCGAAATTGAAAAACGGCAAGTCACTATTAATTATCTCTATATAGTTAATCATACAATTCAATTTTATCCTATATTGAAATACCACGGTTATAAAAGTAATAAATAAACACAGGATATGATCACGGAGAAACTCCAACTGGGTAAGAACTTTGGGTACTTTGCCAGTCAACAATCTACTATAAACGACTTAAAACTTATAGACCGCCGATCACTCTACTACCACTAGTACTTTCTGACCTCCTGCCTGCAATTCTAACAGTTTTCCTGGACTTCGTGCTCCTGCACCAACTTCCAGCTACAGTTTCCAAAGTTCTCCTGGATTGCATTCTCCTACAACTTTCAACTTTGTGAAATCGTCTATCTCTAGTGGATTAACGAAGAATACCGTATTCTTCAATGACTGGAACTCCAGTCACCTTCCTTGATCTTCAAAACTTCTGACAGATATGAAGAAAGTAGCAATTTGGTATTTGGATTGTAAGTTAGATATTTTCACCGACAATCGTCAATAACAAAATGAAGGTTGAAAGAAAATTGAACAAGATGATGTGACAATAATATGTTTTCCATAATATTCAACCTTGGAAATCTCGTTCAGAGGCGTTTAGGTATTTATATGTGGGTCAAAATATGAATGGACCAGATAAAAAGTCTTAAGAAAACGAATTAAAAAATTTCCAGATAAACCTATTGCTCGAGTGAGATCTATGCTCGCTCGAGCGACGGTGAACGACAGCGTGTCACTGTTTTTTACGTTCGAGTCAAGTCTTGACGACAGTCTAGCGAAATTGCGGTGCCGTTTTTCCTTCTTTTCTATTCTCGAACCCTAAACTTAAAATACCTCAATTTTCACTATTTGCACAT